ACCTAAAACTAAAAATAAATAAATAAATAAGCACTCAAACAAATTTGGGGGTTCTTATAAATGCCAGGACTTTAGAAGTTATCTCGTTGAACTCCCATTACAGGAATCCTTTGTTTCATTCTCTCGTCCTGATGGCTGTTCATGCTTCTTAACCCCTTAGCCAGAAAAGGGTGAGGCAGAGAAGTTTATATGTGTTTTTGTAGCACTGGAAATTGTATTTTGTATTTTATTTAGAGACAAGGTTTCACTGAGTTGCTTAGCATCTCACTTTTGCTGAGGCTGGCTTTGAACTCATGATCCTTTTGCTTCAGCCTCCTGAGTGGATGGGATTGCAGGTGTGCTCCACTGCACCTGGCTATCTGGGCATTTGTGATAACCTGTTGTTCCTTACTTATTTTTTTCTGTTTCATCTTTTATTTATTTAAACATTTCACAATAGCTTCTTTAAATTTTTAATCTGATCATTCCCAACTTTGAAGTCCCTAAAAGTTAAGACCTGTCAATTGGTATTCTTGCTACCTCTCATGGTAGTTTGAATTCTTATGTGTTAGTATTTTTTTTTTTTTTTTTTTGGTGAGTTCATATTTGACTGACTTTAATCCAGCAGACTAGATTGAGCATGCTTTCCTCTAAGGAGAATTTGATTTGCTTCTGTTGGGTCTACTTCTTCAGGTGATATTAATCTGAGGCCACTAGAATTTTTTTCAGTTTATGGTTTACTTAAGTAAAGGGAAAGTAAAAATTCCACAGGTCCATATGAGAACAGGTCTTACATGGAAATTAATGTTTTTTTTTTTTTAAAGAGAGAGTGAGAGAGGAGAGAGAGAGAGAGAGAGAATTTTTAATATTTATTTTTTAGTTCTCGGCGGACACAATATCTTTGTTGGTATGTGGTGCTGAGGATCGAACCAGGGCCGCACGCATGCCAGGCAAGCGCGCTACCGCTGGAGCCACATCCCCAGCCCAGGAAATTAATGTTTTTATTAATTTGAGCATCTAGTATTACAGCCAGATAGTTTTTCTTGTAGGCTCTCTCTGCAAGTGAGTGGACTTTCACCTTTTAACTAAGAATGTAGTGACTTTGAGGGTTCCAGCTTCATGGAGATATTATGGTTTGTCCCCACCAAAACTCATGCTGAGGCTTGATCCCCAATGTAATGGTGTTGAGAGGTGGTAAAGCTTTAAGAAGTACCTAGGTCTATGTCAAAATGAACCCCACTATTATCTATGAATATAATGTACCAAAAACAATAATTCAAAAAGAGATAACTAGGTCATTAAGAGGGATTAATGCAGTTCTTTTGCGATGGGTTTGCTACCATGAGATCAAGATGTTATAAAGTGAGGCAGCTTTTTGTGTTTTCCCTCTTCTGCATACAACTACTTGCCCTTCCACTTTCTGCCATGAGTTAAAGCAGGACAAAGCCTCAGCAGAAGACAAGATGCCAGTGCCCAGTCTCAGACTTCCAAGCTTCCAGAACCCTGAACCAAAATAAACCTCTTTTCTTTAAAAACAAACAAACAAACAAACAAAAAATAACAGTCTTGAGTACTCTGTTAAAGCAACAGAAAGCAAACTAAAACAAGAAAACAGAGGACCCTCAAGTTTAGCTTTCCTATCTTTCCTATCTTTCTAAGTCCTCAGACTTATCATCTGGTTCTTCCTCAATCCGCATACTTAGTCCTCAAAGTTTCTAGTGAGTGAACCTCTCAGTTTACTTTTGGTTTATATTATTTTATCTCATTGGTTTTAGGAGATGCCTTGGGGGATTATCCTTATTTTCTTAGGAGCTCACTAGTAAACTTAAAATATTTATTGTGTTTTAAATATCACAGGTATTCTGCCATGGAAAGTTCTTGAGAATATCAGGTCTATCATACTACTAGAAGAGGATTTTTTAAACAAACAAAAAATGTAACTATATGGTACATATTGTTTTAAAACCTGATTTTTTAATTTGATACATGATACACACCTTTCATATTAAAATATACATCTGCAGCATCATTTCAATGGCTGTAGATTCTTTCATTACTAATTTATTCAACCTATTTTTCTATTACTGGATATTTAGTGTTCCGTTTTTTCACCATTACAAACAACATAATTCAATGTTTTACATTATAACTAAATCTTTGCATTCGTTGTGATCTTCTTCCCTGTTTTTTTTTTTTAATTTTTAGGTGTAAAAGGACATATTACCTTTATTTTGTTTATTTATTTTTATGTAGTGCTGAGGATCAAACCCAGTGCCTCACACATGCTAGGCAAGTGCTCTGCCTCTGAGTAACACCCCCAGCCCTTTTTCCCTGTTTAACAGTTTATAAAAGTCAGACCTGGGCTGGGGATGTGGCTCAAGCGGTAGCGCGCTCTCCTGGCATGCGTGCGGCCCGGGTTCGATCCTCAGCACCACATACCAACAAAGATGTTGTGTCCGCCGAGAACTAAAAAATAAATATTAAAAAAATTTWWAAAAAAAGTCAGACGTGCTCAATGTGAAAAAAAAATTCAAACAGTAAGGAAAATAAAAATTCTCCATAATGTTCATTACTTCACCTTAATATCATTAGTTCTATAATTGGGATTCTTTTTTTTTTTTCTTTTTTGAAACAAGGGATTGAACCCAGAAGTGCCCAACCACAAAGCCACATGCTGAGTCTTTTTTATATATATTTTATTTAGAGACAGGGTCTCACTAACCTGCTTAGGGCCTCATTAAGTTGCTGAGGCTGGCTTTGAACTTGTGATCCTCCTGCTGCTGGAATTGCAGGCCTATTCAACTATGCCCAGGTATACTTGAGATACCTTAATAAACAATGGGTGAGAATTAGGACTAGAATATGCAAGAGAGATCACTCTCCTGCCTCCTACTCTCCCAACCCCACAAAAACCAGGGAGAAACAGAACTCCTACCAGGGATGGGCTAAAGGTAATCAAAAACAATTAGGAGCTGAAGGAAGGAAAGATACCAAAACAGACTCCAAAAACCTGGGACAACTGGGGYCAGGGACACCAGGCCTCAGGGAAGGCCAGAGTTCCAAAATCCAGGAATCAACTTTTCCTAAGTCTACCACCATCTGGCCCTCCCCCACCTCCCTGAGGCTCCTTGGAAACTGAAGGTTTTAAGTATTCATTCAAGGTTTTTCTTTCTGCTCCCTCTTTCTTTTAAAGGGACTCAGCTTATTTTGAGTCAAAAAATAGTACAGGCTCTGGCACCACTCCCATCCCTATCTATGCTTCATAGTATCTTATCCCTGATTCTCAGGATCTTTTCTCAATCTAAGGGGAACAGGGAGCCATAAAAATTCACCCTTCTATCTCTTTTCTTCTTGGTCCCTTCAAATGCAAGCATTGAGCTCAGGATTTTCTCCCTAAAGAAAATCACAAAGGGATTTGTGATAACTTTTAGCTCCTCGTTCTAGGCTTTCCTGAGGATACTGCACTTGTCTTCTTGGATTCTGTGGGAGTCTACCACATCTCTGTAATTAAGCCTACTTTAGATGGAGTCATACATATGAGGACCCCTAAACCATAAAGAAGCCTGATCTCCCTCCACCCCTCCATGAATATGAAGTTCCATCTGAGGTGAGAAGCATTTTTAGGAAGTTTCACATGTTTTGGTTGTTCCTTTATTCATTCAATTCAGCAAATATTTATTGGGCACTTACCATGTCGTGATTTTTTAGGAGACTACAGTCTTATCATTCCCAAATTGCCCAAAGTAGCATGGGCCAACCCTACTTAAATCCATGAATCCTGAAGTTCTGTTATTGTGGAAACCATTAATGGCTAATGTCTTCTGTTCCCACCATTAGAGCTTGTGGACCACAGAATGGAAAGCATGTACCAAAGAGAATACTTTTTAGTGACAGCTGACACTCAACCCATAGGGTTGGGTCTCCCTATGAAGGACTAAGTACCTAGAGCTGGCTCCATCTAGTTCCAACAACCTGCAGCCATGGTTAGGTCTTGGTGGGATAAAATATGCACACCTTTTGTCTACCCTAAATCCTTAAGTTTCCCCATGCTCCAGAGTTCTCAAAGGCCCTATCCAGAGTATATACTTGTCAAGAAATTAGGTATTTGCATAGAAGAATTATGTAAAGGAGAGGTCATGAAGCTCTAAAATATCTACTGCAATGAACCACAATGTCAGCAACTCTTTTGCTGGGTCAACACACCTAGCCTGATCACAACACCCTGAGAGAGGGTCTTGGGTCTTCCAGCCCCAGGAACTCCTGATTACTGGGCAGACAAGTCCGTTTTAGTGCAGGGCTTGCCTCAGCAAGAGCAGCTCTCAGGGACAGGGCAGGAATATGGATGTCAGCTCTTCACTGTATTGTCGGATGCTTTAGAYCTTCCACTGTCTGCTTCACCATCAGAGGAATGGTATGGCCCTGCAGTTTATGTGAAAGTAGGATAACTTGAGCCAGGCATGAAATTTCATATGAACTTGAGCAAGGTACTTAAACGATCAGTGCCTCCATTTCCTTATAAATAAAAAAGGTAAGAAAAAGCAGTACCTATCTCCCTTTAGGTTGATGTGAGATTAAATAAATTAATATGTGGCCCTGGCATATGGTTAGCTTCATAGCTGTCTTACCCATGATCTTGGGCATCTGCAAGCGCTTGGACCACAAAACCCTCTTAACCACAATCTACACCTCACCCCAGTCCTGGCAGATGGTAGAGTTGGGAATCCCGTTGGAGAAGGGAGAGCAGTGGCTGGAGGAGTAGGATGATTGTGGTTGCCCAGAAGGTGAGGACTCCTCCCGTGGCACCTCCAGGGCTCAGCTACACCTAATCTGGTCACAGAAACCAACAGGTGCACAGGAAACACTAGACAGAAGAAAAAGGCAGTAAGYAGTCTTCATTCTGCCCCACCCCGAGTAGGGCGGGACTGAAGAGTGGCTGAATGGGGAAGGAAGTTGTTCAGTCACTCCAACTAGGGGGAACGATCCGGAAAGCGGAATCCGTGCCGCGAGCCTAGAGACTGACCTCTCTTCAGACCCCATCCTCATCTCTGCTTAAAACCCCAGCCCCCCCCCTCCCCAAATCACTCCATCGGTGAAGCTTACAACTTCCAGAAGTCCCTAGCACCTTTCAGTCTGATGTCTGGCGTCAAGCTTTGGTGAGTGGGGATTGGGATGTCGAGGGGCAGCCTCAGACACTCCCCCAACACAGGACACGCTCACAGAATGCCTACCATCCAGGTGCCACAGTCGGGGACGGTCGGGGCGGGCGGGGATGTTGGAGATTGATCTCACCACCCCCAGTCGGGGGAGCAGTGCGGTCGTGGGGCATGGCCAGTTAGTGCACAAGACCCCTCTCTCAGGCCCAACGGTGCCCCCGCCCCCGTGCTGCCTCTCGAGGAACTGATAAACCCAAAGTTTGTCGGCGAAGGCGGCTTCGGCTCAGTGTTCCGGGCACAACACAGGAYGTGGGGCTATGATGTGGCAGTCAAGATCGTGAACTCGTGAGTGACCTCGGCTGCAGCCGAGGTTTGACTTAGAAGGCGGGACGCAGCCTGAATGGGGAAGGGAGGGAGATCTTCCCAGGACCCGAACCCGACTGCAGCTCTCTCCCCGGAGTGTAGGGAGGCGATATCGAGGGAGGTGAAAGCCATGGCAAGTCTTCGTAATCAATACGTGTTGCTCCTGCTGGGGGTCACCGAGAACCTGGAGTGGGGCTACGTGTCCGGACCAGCTCTGGTGACCCGATTCATGGAGAATGGCTCCCTGGCTGGGCTATTGCAGCCAGAGTGCCCTCGGCCCTGGCCACTCCTTTGCCGCCTGATGCAGGAAGTGGTGCTGGGAATGTGTTATCTGCACAGCCTGAACCCAGTGCTCCTGCACCGGGACCTCAAGCCCTCCAACGTCCTGCTGGACCCAGAGCTGCATGTCAAGGTCAGCCCATCTAAGCTCCACTCCAGCCTTGGGACCATGCCCCGTTCCAGAGCTGTTCCAACCCCACACACTGGATTCAGGACCTGTGGCAGCCCTGTCTATTGAATACCCTCATCCTTTCCCTCTGGACTCAGGGAGTTTAAGCCAGGAGTTTAAGCTCCTGGCATATCAGGTGACAAAGACCCTGACCCACCTGTTCACTTCCTCAGGCCCAATCCACCAGGCCTTCCTAGGAGCCATGGCAAACCCAGCCTAGTAGACTCACTTTTCCTCTGACCCTTTGTACCCCTTTTACAAAGCAGGACCTGTACCTTCTGGAGGGTGGGGACAGATTATTCTGGAGACTGTCCGGTTCCCTCAGTCTAATATCTCCTCCTTCCCTTCCTTTGCAGCTGGCAGATTTTGGGCTGTCCACATTTCAGGGAGGGTCACAGTTAGGGGCAGGATCCAAGGAACCTGGAGGTACCGTGTCATACTTGGCCCCAGAACTGCTTGCTAATGTAAACGGGAAGGCCTCCCTGGCCAGTGATGTCTACAGGTAAGCAACCCACATCAAGTGTACATCCCAGATTTCTACCTCTGGGTCCTTGTTAGGATGGTATATTGGAGAGGAGTTTTGCCAGTGGTTGGCCAGGCTTCTATCTTGTGTCTCCTGCAGCTTTGGAATCCTCATGTGGGCAATGCTAGCTGGAAGAGAAGCTGAATGTAAGACTAGGCAGCCCTCGGTGCCTCCCTCTGAAGATCCCAAGCACTCCCTTTCCTTCTGAAACTGCCTCTACCCTCCTCACTTCCTCTACCCTCCTCACCTCCCCCTTGGGCAACACTCCCTGACCCTGCCTAACATACAGCCTTTTCTTATCACCACCCTCATCCCCCCCCAGTTGTGGGAAAGATATCACTGGTGCAAGAAGTAGTATGTGAGAAGCAGATCCGGCCCCCATTGAATGAGATACCTCTGCCCAGCCCTGAGACTCCTGGCTTGGAAGATCTGAAGGAATTAATGCAGCACTGCTGGAGATCTGAGCCCAAGGACAGGCCATCCTTCCAGGGTAAGCTGGCCATTTCAGTGGCGACTGGGGTAGCTTTGGGTCTGTCTGCAGGGGACTTGTCCCAGGGAAGGACATTCTGCTCACCTGCAACCCATTCTGCTGTCTTTCAGAATGTCGACCAAAAACTGATAAGGCCTTCTTCCTGGTCCAGGGAAAGATGGATGCTGCTGTCTCCAAGGTGAGTGACCAACATCAGCTCTCCATCAGGAGTTGGTCAGGGATGGCACATATGTCTCTCTTGTTCATCTATTGACTCCCCACTAGCCACTGTTCTATCATCCCCACCTTCCCACCCTACCCATGAGTTCTCAGGCAACAGACTATGGACCAAGCTACTACTCCTTCAGGTTTAATCTGGCTCTTCCAACTCAAGTTCTTCCRTCCCTACAGGTGAAGAAGTTTCTGTCTGAGCAAGGAAGCAACAACAGGAGGTTGTCTGCCCCAGAAACAAGTCAAAGAGGGATAGAAATGGATGGCCCTGGGGGAGCCACAGGAAGCCAGTTCTCTTGGACTGATTCCACAATTTCTGAGCGGCTGAACAAGATGAATCTGGAGGAGTCCCCCAGCTCAGTCCTTGAAAAATCCACAAGCCTTCCTGAGGGGAGTAGGACACAGGAAGAGCAGATTCAGCATGCCAGGACAGCAAGAAGATCTTCAGATTCAAYGACTCAAATTCCCCAAACACCAGAGACCTTACCTTTCAGAAACCAGATGCGCAACCCTATCTTCACTAGGATTCCAGGTCCTGAACCACAAGGGAATCAGGTGAGACATTGGCAGGACTCAGGGATGCTCCAGGACTCCTGTAAATTCTGTCCCCTTAATAGTGAAAACCTGGGACTGCGGGGGGGGGGTGTAGTGGGAGAACCAGACCCTAGGACAGAAAGCTTAAGAACTATGTGTTGTTTTTAGGGATCTAAGAGATATGATGCCAACTGGTCTTCCAGAGACCCAAAGTCAAATCCAACAACAGGTACCTATTCCCTACTCTCCTCTTTTCCCCTACTCAATTTTCCACCACCTTCTTCTTCAACACCTATATGTAGATCCAGGGTATTTTTAGGGTGGGGAGAAGAACTAGAGATCATCTAACACAATCTTTTAATTTCATAAAGTAAGAAACTAACATCTACTGGGAGAGAATCCTGCAGAGGTCACACAACAAAGTCTGGACATGCCCCTGGGTATACTGACTTACCCCAGCACCAGTTCTACGAGAGCCCTAAATTCTGTTGTTAATACAGAAGTACAGCAGAACTCCCAGCAAAAACACCTAAATATAGGTTATTATTTTCTTGAGTTTCTGCAAAATCAATCCCAGAGGGGCAGCCTGAGGGAAAGGCACACTTTGACATAGCCACTGGTAGGCTCAGAGACTCCATGCTTGCATTTCCCCAGGCTGAACACAAGATGCCGCTGCCCCTCTGCCCCAATGTGCCTACTAACCTCATCTTTTTGACCACTACCACTCTTTCTCTTAAAGGGTCTATTATCTTAGACAATTGCTCTGCGGTGCAGATTGGAAGCAACAATTCCTTGATCATACAAGAGAGAACTACATTGCCTAAGCAGGGCCCAACACCCTTCAGCATGGGTAGGGGCAGGAACCTCCCCAAAAAATAGATTCAAAAAAAGGCTTGAAGACTCCAGTGAGCCACAGAGCCAGCACAATCACAATGGGAATTAAAGCACCAGAGGCTAAGTTGCCAGCAGAGGCTGAGGCAACCAGTGTCACTCCTCAATCCAGTCTATGGCCAAACTGACTTTGTGATCTGCCTCCTAAGAAGTCAATAAATGTGATGGACTATAAACCAAGCCAGATGAGGGAGTCTGACGTGTAATTGTCCTCTGTTACGGGTGGGAGAGTCAGGGATGGGGGCAGGGCAGGAGCTCGAAACCAGGGAATAGGAGGTGCTGCAGCTGGATTGACCAAAGCAGGAAGGAGGATAATGGGGGTTGGGGATGGGCAACCTTGTGGTACACAAGGTCAGGGCACAGCCAGTGGCAGGAAGGAATCCTAGAGGCCTGACTGCCCTGGTGCTCTTATTTCAGGGTGGGGTGCTTCCTCTAGAGCTCAGGACTGACCCCACCTTAAGCCTAAACTCACAGATCCCCTTTTCTTCTGGATTTCAGAGACTCAGCTTTGGGTCCTTGGGGGAAGGGGTGTTTGTGGGAAATCAAAGATGCCAGCCCTTCTCCTACCCTACTGGAATCCCTGCAGGCCCTCTCCCATCAGCCCCCTTACTGTCATATTCTCTCTCTCTCTCTCTCTCTCTCTCTCTCTCTCTCTCTCACACACACACACACACACACACACACACACACACATACACACAAACACACAAGGCTACCACAGTGGCTCACAAACACCTTGCTTCCTAAGCTTGGGGAGCATTTTTGAAATGGAAAGCTATAGCTCACAAAGCTCCACACAGACTTCCCTGCTCCCAGAGCTGGACATGGTGGGAGTATGGACAATTCAGATTCTGCCACAAYTGCTCCCAGAGAGGCCAGGAGTGGAGAGGAGTGTGTGTCCCTATTCTGACTTAGATTCCAGCCCCCAACTGGCCCACCAGGACTCACACTCTTCCTTATATTCTTGCCAGGCTTCACTCTAGCCCTCCTTCGGTCTCCCCACATCCAAATRTTCAGTTCCCATTTTGGCACATCCCATCAGGCAGACCCCACAGTCTCTCCCACTGTCCATATTCTCCTTTCTTGAGCGGACCGAGGACTGAAGGCGATAGTTCGGGAACACAATCCGACTGGGGGAGGAAGCCAGGGGAGTCGGCTCCGGCACGGGAAGGGGCCGGGCTGTCCTGTCGGGGAAGTGGGAGGGGGCCGTGGCGCCGAGAGGGAAGCGCCTGTCGCCCCAGGCTCTGAGCCACTAGTGTAGCACTGAGCCTGACTCCACAACCAGCTTCCCAGCTGCGGGAGTGTGGCGCGCAGTGAGTTGGGGGAAAGTGGGAACCCAAAGCCTTGCAGCGTCAACTCCAAGCCCTGTCTCCCCGGTGATGAAACTTTGCTAAGGCACCTCCACAGCCTGAGTTTGCGGGAGAGGCTGGGGTGAGCAGGGAGTCCGGTCACCGCCAGCTGGGAGCCAGTTGGGAGCGGGCTGGGAGGCCGAAGGGAGCGCCTGTAAACTGACCGGGATTGCCTCAAGTTTGGGGGCGCAGAGGGAAGGGCCTTGGGGCAGGTGAGAAAGACACCGTGGAGCCGGTTGGGCTCTGAAAGTTATCCAGCGTCCGGTCCACCCCAGGCCTGGGGCTCGGGACAGGGCTACCATGGCGCGCCTCTTCAGCCCCCGGCCACCCCCCAGCGAAGAAGACCTCTTCTATGAGACCTACTACAGCCTGAGCCAGCAGTACCCGCTGCTACTACTGCTGCTGCTGATCGTCCTCTGCACGCTAGTGGCGCTGCTCCTCGTCGCCTGGGCCAGCGGCAGGGTGAGATGGGCCTCTGGTTCTGGGGCATGCTCCAGAGCTGCGACTCTGCTGCAGCCCAGAGAAGGGTAGCTGCCTAGTTGACATTTTGGGAGTTGGGATTTGTGGGATCTTCTTTTTCAATGTTCTCTTTACTGGGAGCGGGAAAAGAAGCATTGAGCCTTGTTATGAACTGTGGTGACCCTGGGCAAGTCACAACACCCTGTGGGCCTTGGTCTCTGAGTCTGCCCAGGAAGGTTAACTGAGTCCTGGATATTTCCCATTTCACTCTAACAGAATTCTAACAGACCTTATAAGTTTTTTGTGGTCTGCTGATTCTAGAACAATCCAATACCGGATTTTCCAGTTTTCCAGAGGGGAAACTCTACTCAAGCTGCCGGAGGAAATAAGTTTCTGGTTTTCTCTCCCACATTGGGAATGTGGGATAGACTCCCAGAAGGCACCTTCCATCCCGCTTTCATTTAGTCCCCAAAGAAACCCATTTTTAGTTTTTCCTTTGAGGAAGAAGAGGTCTTCAATTGCATTTCTGGTAATATACTGCTCCGGGGTTTCTTTTCACTCCTTGGAGAAAAGGTGGGGAAGTCACTGGGTGCGGCCAATTCACCCGAGTCCACCCCCAAAGTCCGGAAAGAGGTGGGGACAAAGGGCGGGGACCGAGGGGGACTACGCGTCAGGGCAGGGGCAGGTGGCGAGATCTTAGTCCTCCGCGGCTAGGGAGGTGCGGGACCAAGGCGGAGCCCAGGCGCCCCCTGCTGTTTCCCGCCAACCCCAGGCTTCCAACCTCTGGCTCCTTGGGCGGGGATTCTCCCGAGCAAATCATYCAAATCATCTGATTTGGAGACTTTCTTTCCTAAGTGCCATCTTGTGAGTTAAGATTGGTCACTTATTTCCAGAGGCCAAGAGGGTGCTACAATTCCCGTTTGAAAGATAGAAAACTGAGGCGTGGAAAGATCATAGATTGACAAACAGCCAGCCTGGCGTTGAAGCCTGTTCTGGGTAGATGTTGCAGGCTTGCAGCATCATGCAAACAAAATAATAGGTCGAACGATATGAAATTATCGATCCCTGTCGATAAAAACAGCAGGACATAGACAATTTCTTAGAGTTCAACCTAATATGAATGGCAAGCAGAGGGGTCATGCTTCTTTTGTACTTAGGTTTGAGGTGCCCTTTCAGAACTGCCGTGAGGGGTTATCTATTCTTCCTCTATCTAGTCGTCCCTCCTCACCTTTGGTGAGCTTCCCAAGTTTTTTTATCTTGCCTAATGCACTCTTTCCCCACAGGAGCTGACCTCAGACCTGAGCTTCCTGACCACAGTGCTATGCGCTTTGGGTGGCTTCTCCCTGCTGCTGGGCCTAGCTTCCCGGGAGCAGCGACTCCAGCGCTGGACTCGACCCCTGTCAGGCCTTGTGTGGGCTGCACTGCTGGCTCTAGGACACGGCTTCCTATTCACTGGAGGCATAGTGAGCGCCTGGGACCAGGTGAGAGGGATGGCAGGCAAGGGATGGAGGACCACCTTAGCCTGGACCTGGCCCCAGGCCTTGTGAAGCATAAGTAGGCCTTTTGCCACTCCCACCCTGCTCCAGGTGTCCTTTTTCCTCTTCATTATCTTCACGGTGTATGCCATGCTGCCCTTGGGCATGAGGGATGCTGCTGCTGCAGGTCTCACCTCTTCTCTCTTGCACCTGCTGGTCGTGGGGCTGTACCTTGGGCGGCAGCAGGACTCCCAGCCTTCACTGCTGCCACAGGTAAGAACACAAGTAGCCCAGGCAGTGCCCAGGGCCAGCTCTGCTGCATTTGCTGAGCTATGACTGCGGTAGGGTGCAACACTGAGTGCAAGATACAAACACAAATCCCACAGATACAAATACAGATCCCCTTGGTGGAGCTGATACACCAGTGCAGATACCTACTGATACCAGAAGAGGGCTCCGGACCCAAAGGGAAAGACCTCATGGCTCTTAAGAGAGCCAGATATGGAGATACAGATGATGGAACCATCACAGAGAATGTAAATCAGGACTTGAGTAGTTCTGTGCAGCTACAGTGGGCAGAGGATAAGGATGGTGGGATGGTATTCCATATATGCAGAAATTTCTAGACCTAAGAGCCCATAATGGACCAACAGTCAAGAATCTACAGCAGGGAAGATGAATGACCCTAGGGATGCTTAGGTCACTAACTATAGAGCCCAGAAGGTCTTGGAGACCAATTCCAACTACAGACTCCCCCAGCTTCACCTGGGCACACACCTGTAATCCCAGCAACTTGAGAGGCTGAAACATGAGGATCGAAAGTTTAAAGCCTCCCTCTGAGGGTACTCCTCACCTACAGCTGGCAGCAAACGCAGTGTTCTTCCTGTGTGGCAATGTGGTGGGAGCATACCACAAGGCACTGATGGAGAGAGCATTGCGTGCCACATTCCGGGAGGCACTCAGTTCCCTGTATTCTCGCCAGAGGTTGGACACGGAGAAAAAGCATCAGGTCAGCTGGGCCTAGAAAGAGGGTTGGGACCAGTGCTCAGAGAAAAGAGTTGTTTAGATTACACAAGTGGGTTTTTTCACAAGCTAAGTGACTCATTCGATCTTCTATGGCATTTTCTCCTTTGTATAAAATGCGGCTATTGCCTATCTTGGAAGGTTGTTGCTAAACTCAAACAAGCTGAAACTTAAGATGGTTATGAAGTGAAGAATTCTAATCGAGGTGTTAGTACTGAGAGTTCAGTCCCTAAAGGTGATTAGTCAGGATGGGGTGCTGGAGCATGGCTGGCCTTGTGCCCTGGCGGGCCTCTGGGGGAGCATCCTAGTAGAAGTGGAGCATTCTGTGGGCTTCTGGGAGACTTGGGGGCTGGGGCTCCTGGTTTTAGGGTATAGGATGGTTGGTGCTCAAAATGACCTCCTCTAGGAACACCTTCTCTTATCCATCCTACCTGCCTACTTGGCCCGAGAGATGAAGGCAGAGATCATGGCACGGCTGCAGGCTGTACAGGGGTCACGACCAGAGAGCACGAACAATTTCCACAGCCTCTATGTCAAGAGGCACCAGGGAGTCAGGTATGAGGAAGGATGGCTGAAGGGGAGAGCCTGTGGGCTGAGACCCTGACCCCACTGATGTGGTCTATCCTGTGCAGTGTACTATATGCTGACATCGTGGGCTTCACGCGGCTGGCCAGCGAGTGCTCCCCTAAGGAACTGGTGCTCATG